AGTAATGTGCCAACAGGAGCAATTTCAAAATATGAAACTTTTTTGGTCTCTTCCAGTTTTCGGTCAGCTTTTAACATTAAGTTTCAAGGTAAAAGTTGAAGGATACCTCTGACTCTGAAGGTCACAGCTCAAAATTTAAAAGCTTAAAGGCTTTGATAGTTACATTAGCTGAAAGAGGACAAATATTCCTACGTTTTAAGGTATAATTTTTATATGGAACTTGAAGGATGTGGAAGTAATCTGAAGGAGTCTGAAAATATTTTGAGTAATGCAACTGGCTGAAACATCTAGAGTGAGTCACATGACCCCTTTGATCTCCCACTCCAAAGTGCCTCCATAGGAATAACATTGTGAAATTTTAATGATTTTAAAACTGTTATTTTTCAAAAACCAATGGATGTTTTGAACGCAAAAGATAACTGGTAATAGCCCAAAGCCCTGAGAAACATTTAAAAGTTGAATGGTGCTTCTACTTTAACGTAAAATGAAATAGTTAGCGTTGAAGTAGGTCAAACGTTTTTAAGAATTTGAAGGCTCCACCATTCATTTTTAATGAGAGGAAAAATTCAGAAAAAGTTAAATAGTTCAAAAAGTTCCAAAGGTTTCAACACCAAAAGAGACAGCCGCAATGTCCAAAAGAATCGGAACAAATGTATACCTTGATTGTTTAAAGAAGTTGAAGTATGTCAAAGTACTTAAACGTCAAAAAGCATGCAGAATAATAATAATAAGAGAAGAACTTTGATTTGGAGGATATGTTTTCTGCTAATAAAGTGGCAGAGTAAATATATTTTTAACTATTTCTGTTGTAATTATCTGCACTGTTTTAATAGGACATTTTTAATAGCACACAATAAATCTTTTGATTTTCTTTCAGTTTTTTTAAGGATTGTGATGACTTTAATGAATACAGAACATAATGTTATTAAACCACATTTAAATACAATGACTGTTCCATCCTTACACATTTTATAGATTTTCCTACATGCACCCAGTTCCCGATTCCATTGGTAACTGTTTCACTATTTTCCTAAACATATTTCCTTCTTTTAGACACATGCATGCACCTCACTGCAGCTACAGGTTTAGATCAGGGTTATTAACTCATTGACTGCCAGCCATTTTCCGAACAGAGAGTCCCATACTGCCAGAGTTTTTTTAGCATTTTGACTGATTATTCAAGAACCACAGAATAGTTTGTGCTATGACTATGTAAACACCGAACACACCAAAAGAAAGAGTAGACTCTCTTCTTTCATCAGGAAAAAAAAATTGTTTCTACGTTATTCCGTTCTTCCTCGACTTGCGTCTCACCGGCGACATGTTCTCTCATAGAACCGTTCCCTTTTTCTAATTTGCCTACAGTCTATGCTCATCTCCCATCAAAAGTGGCACTGCCACCTAGAGGGTCAATTTGTTAGTGCATACTCGGTCTAGAAGCCTAATATTTACGGACAAGCTTTAGCAGATCGTCCCCCAGCCACTCTCGTTGAAAAATATAAAAGACGTCTATAGACGTCTTTGCCAGTCAACGGTTGTATTTGAACTGACGTCTATAGACGTCGTTGGCAG